CCCCAGCCACCTTGCTGACCTGTCTTCCCACACTCCTCCCCCTCCTTCAGTCTACTCCCTCTTGCTGTTCCTCAAATACACCCATTCCTGCTTCGGGGCAGGAATGACTGATCATAAATGATAATGGTTCAATGCCATTCTCCTTGGGATAGTTCCATGTAACAAGTCATTGGCTAAAGGGGAAGACTTCCAATAATGGACTAGTAAGCCATTGCAGAAGACTTTGGAGGGAGATTCTGAGGAGGAAGTAGCCCTCAGTGTTTCTCAAATCACACAGTTTAATTGGGGTATGATATGATTCAAATACAATTTCATAATTTTTAGAGGTTTCTTGGACTTTAGAACTAATTATCTTTCCCAGTTCTCTTTTCCCATTATTCTTTAACAGTCATAGATAATAACTTCTGCTTTTCCTTTTCATCTTGCCTTTAAAAGAAACCATTCAATCAACATAGTCTTTGGGTGGAGTTTTTAAAATGCAGAAGGTTTCAGAGACAAATATTTACCTCTGCAGGTACTAGAATGGTCAGTACCTAGAAGCCTTTCTCCTCTGTAAGCATTATCACCCGCTCAGATTCTCTCTGTATTGTCCCTTAGATTATGAAATGTGGCTCAGCGTCATCACAACTTTCCTTTCCTTCGTAGCAGGTGCTTGCTCAGGGCTGAAAGTGACGGTGCCCTCACACACCGTTCATGGCATCAGGGGTCAGGCCCTCTACCTCCCCGTGCATTATGGATTCCACACACCAGCATCAGACATCCAGATCATATGGCTGTTTGAGAGACCCCACACGATGCCCAAATACTTACTGGGCTCTGTGAACAAGTCTGTGGTTCCCGACTTGGAATACCAACACAAGTTCACCATGATGCCACCCAACGCATCTCTGCTCATCAACCCATTGCAGTTCACTGATGAAGGCAATTACATCGTGAAGGTCAACATTCAGGGAAATGGAACTCTCTCAGCTAGTCAGAAGATCCAAGTGACCGTTGATGGTGAGTCCACTATAAGTGACCTGGGCCACTGGGGAGCATGGCAGTTAGTAACAGCTCAGCTTTAGGTCCTGGCTCTGCAACTTTGGGCAGATTAATTAACCCTCAAAGCCTCAGTGTTTTCAGTTGCACAAACTACATTATGTACCTCATGAGGCTTTCTGAATATTAAATAAGACATGCATGTAAAGTATATGCATAGTGCCTAACAAAAGGTAATCAAGCAATAAGCAGAACTTACTCATTTGCCTGGAAACTATCAAGGATAAAGTTGCAGATAAAATACAATAAAGGATAAAATACAATAAGATGGAGGAAATTTTATTTTCTCAGTGTCAGAACACACCCTGGGAAGAGCCTATATTTGTCACATGAATAATTTTATTTGGATACACCATTTGGGGGAGGATGAGACTGGCTCAAGGACTGTACTTAAGTAACAATAGAAGTTGCTGGAAATATCCTCTGAGGGATTATGGAGTCGGCTAAATTTCAGACCTTTATTTCCCTTATTGAGGTATATAAGTAACATGCCTTAAATATACTATGTCCAAATCCCAACTTCTGATTTTTCCCCTTAAACCTGATTATTTAACAGGTTATAACTTAAAATTTCTTCCGTTTTAGTAAATACCAACTCCATTCCATCCGTTACTCAGGCCAAAACTTTGCTATCACCATTGACCCCTCTTTCATACCCCACATCCAGTCTACAAGTATTCACTGTCAGCTTTACCTTCAAAATACAGAGTTCAGTCACTTCTTATCACCCCCTCTGTCTGCTCTCTCAACCACACCACCAGCTCTGGCCTGGACTGTCCCTAATAGCCTGCTACCCAGTCTTCTCCTTCCTGCTCCCACCTCCTTCAGCTTTAAGCCCTCCAATGGCTTTCTGTCTCATTTAGAATAAGAGCCAGAGTACTAACAATATCTTATAAGGCCCCACATGATCCCTCCCTACATACCCAGCTTCTCTCTGACCCCATTTCCTATCTCCCTGATCCCTCACTCACTCTTTTCTGACCACGCTGGCCTGTTCTAGGAAAAGCTAGAACAGGCCAAACACATTTATACCTCAGGTCCTTTGTACTTACTATTCAATCTACCTAGTCTGCTTTTCTCCTAGGTGATAGCATGGTTCCCATGCCTATTTCGTTTAGGTCTCAGCCAATATGTCACTTTATCTGTGAAGGTTTTCCTGACCACCTTATAAAGTATAACTTCATTCCCCCAAACAGAAAGAGAGAGAGATTCCCCCAAATAGATATATATAGAGAGTTACTATCTGAGTTCTGCTTTGTTCTTTTCACAGCACTATTTCCACCTGGATGTATTATATATTTTTATTTGATTGTTGGGTCCATGGGAGCAGGAACTTTGTATTGTTTGCTAATTTGTCCTCAGTGCCTAAAAGCTGATGCTGGCCTTTAGTAGGCACTCAGTAAGTGTGTGTGAAGTAAATGAGTGGAGACCAGAGAGACTGAGAGGAACAAAGGCATAGGATGTGGAAGCAGATGCCTATAGAGCAACTATGAAAAGAGAAAAGGAGAAAATGTTCATGAAATTTTCCTGGGTAGTATCCCATCTCTCCCCAAAATGTAATGGATCATTCATTACATGTTAATATCTAGTAAAATCGGATCTATTTGGTGAAATGCAACTAAAAAGTCTTAATAGGGGTTTAGGACCTGTGTAAAATATTTTCCTGGGAAACTTCCACTTCTGAGTCACACTTTAAGGCAAGTATATGATCATAGCCTATTCTGATTGGTTCTCCCCATAGAAGACCTTAGATATTAACTTATTTGACTTATCCCATACCACATCTGTTTCCACACAGAGAGATATTTGAAACATAAGCTTTTCCTGTGTAATAAGCATAGACAACTCATTTTTCCTTTTAAATCATAATAATGTAAACAAAAGCTATTCCACATCCTTTATTCTTGCCAGAGACTCTAAAAGATTAAATTGAATGAACAAATTGGTTGTACCCATCTTAAGAGAAACTGGAGGCTTCAGAACTACTTTGGTCCTCTGTAAATTATTTCAGTTTCCTTTCTTATTTTTCATTTTCTCCTATATTCTCTGGGCTGAAGGACTGGGTCTCTTCATTCCCCAATGCACAGTTTTCCATGTAGGAAAACGAGTGCATGAGTCAAGAGGAATTTACCTTCAGAGATGCATCAACCCCAATTTAAAACTTGATAGGAAATTGAAATCCAAATATCTGAGCCAATCATTTCTCACTTACCTATCATCTCACTCTCTCTGTGATGGTTCATAGAAGGAGATTATTAAACATATCTTCCCAAAATGCTGGAGAGAAACATTGCCAGATATAAAGCCCTTTTTATTTTGTCACTGACTGCTGTGTAACTCTAGTCAAGTCACTGTTCTTTATCAAACAGAACCAAGAACCTCAAAGATTAACGAAGTTCGCTGCAGTTATTTGTGGATACTTACATAATTCCAACCCTTACCTAACAATTTTATAGTTAAAACTCAGGAAGGAAATATTTACTCATTCTTGGAGATTTGTTCATTTGACAAATAGCATCATGTGCCAGATTCATGAGACAAAACTATTTTCCTATTACTTGAAGTTCCAACAGGAATTACTATTGGATTTGTCTTTTATATCTCTAATGGGATGTAATCACAATAACACATTTTATCCTGTTTTCAAATTGAATCAGTGTTGAAATATAGGCTCTGGTTTGTAAAGTGGCTAACATAATGTTGCAATTGCACAGCAATTAAAACATATAAGTAATTCACTTACATAAAAATAAAAGTAAGCAGTGAAAATGTGATTCTCTAAAACTTTCCCTCAATATCCCACAAGTGTAATATATAAGAGTTTTATATTTTACAGATAGTGGATAAAAATTTAGGTTCACCTACCCTAAGCAGCCATTCTTGGGGCCTTAAGACAAATCAAGAAAGGAAAATGCCATGTAAACTTTGCCCGTGAGAATGTACCTTTATCGTGTGGGAAAAAGCACAATGAACAGGAAATAAGGAAGTTGGTGTTCTCTGAACTAACTGCATTATCTATAGAGTAAAGGTTTTCATTAGAAAATCCTTAAAGAGGGGACACTTGGCTGGCTCAGTGGGTTAAGCCGCTGCCTCCGGCTCAGGACATGATCTCAGGGTCCTGGGATCGAGCCCCACATCGGGCTGTCTGCTCAGCAGGGAGCCTGCTTCCCCCTCTCTCTCTGCCTGCCTATCTGCCTACTTGTGATCTCTCTATCTGTCAAATAAATAAATAAAATAAAATAAAATAAAGAAAATCCTTGAAGAGTACATTCCAGAATTTGGTTATCTCTGCAATAAATTGTATTTTTATATTTTTATCATTTTGCGTTTTCCATTAATTATTTTTTATTTTCTGAACTGTCTACATCTACAAAAATATAAAATTTTAGAATCATTTCCCCAAGATTTGATATTTGAAAGACCACACAGACTTGTATTATAATTCTGTAGTGGCAAAAACCATTTCTTTCTTTTTTGATACTGCAGATCCTGTAACAAAACCAGTGGTGTGGACCCAGCCTTCCTCTGGAGCTGTGGAGTATGTGGGGAACATGACCCTGACATGCCTCGTGGAGGGGGGCACCCGGCTGGTTTACCAGTGGCTAAAAAATGAAAGGCCTGTCCACACCAGCTCCACCACCTCCTTTTCTCTGCAAAACAGTACCCTTCATATTGCTCCAGTGACCAAAGAAGATATTGGGAATTACAGTTGCCTGGTGAAGAATCCTGTCAGTGAAATGGAAAGTGACATCATTATGCCTACCATATACTGTAAGTTTTTAACAAATATATATTCATGATGTTTCTTCTGGGAAGTTTATTATTTTTCATAGGTCCCATGACCTATGAAATATAACTAGTAGTATGACCCTGTTTCTTGAAGATCAAGGTGAGATACTGGCTGTGAGCCTTTCAGGATACATTTTCTGACTTGGTCCGTTGTGTGACCTTATATCCAGTGCAAGGTAGGAACCTCAATTTTAAGAAACAAAAGCCAATACAGAAGACACTTATTTATTTACTCTAAGATCAAAGAATTGGTGATCATAAACTGGGAGAGGGGATACTCTAGCTGACCACAGGGAGAAAGAATGTTCCTAGATTATGCATGGGTACTACATCCGCGGGCTGTCCTCTCTGCTCATTTTCTCAGCTCCATTTTTAGAGAAAACATAATTATTCTGCAGTAAGGTATTGAGGTTCCCAGAGGATCAGAAATTATTTCAGATCTCAATTTTCTTTGTTTTTTTTTCATTGTTGTTGCTGTTATTGTCATTTAATCTTATACACAGAGTTAAGTTCATCAAACTCTTCAATTTGTCATGTTATCATCCTAGCCCAAGCAGGATCCCTCTTTCTTTATCATATTATTTTTCCCAGTCCCCTCTACTTCATAGCACCACCTCTAATATGTTTAGTTTTGCAGTCTAATTTCGGCTTCACACAGGGTTTCTCAGTGTCCACATTAATGATATTTTGGGCTGGACAAATATTTGTTGTGGAGGCTGTCTTATGTATTATAGGATGTTTAATGGCATCCGTGGTCTCCCCACCTTCAATTGTGACAACTAAAAATGTCTCTGGATTTTGCTATATGTTCCCTGTTGTGAAGGTTGCAAAATCTCCCCTAGTTGAGAACCGATGACCTATCACATTGGGAAGTCTTCTCATCAGTTACTATGTAGCTTAAAGCATAGCCACAACAGCAGTGTAACAAAAAGCGTGAGGGATGGGGAAGGAAAAGTTCTCAACCCTGTGGCATGAGGGTAGAGGTTCCAGCTAGTTGAATCATTGGGCAGAATTAACTGTGTCTACTTACTGGTCACATATTATCTGTATAGTAATACGAGGAGAGGCTCCAAAACCTAGCGTTTAGGTTATAGGAGGTAGATAAACCTAAGTAGGAGATCTTTCTATCATTACCTATATGACCTTAAGAAATTCCTTGACCTTCCTGAGTCTCTTATATAAAATGGAGATAGTCAAGACTACCTCACCACATTGCTGTGGCTTGATAAGGTGTCTGAAAAATAGCCAATGACTGACACAAAGCAAACATTCAGTAAACAGAGGCTGTTTATATTATTGATTCTATTTTCTTCAATACAGAATTGATGGAGTCCTCTTGAGGAAGTTTTACTAACTTTTTGGAAAAAAGCACCAGCATATGTACAAAATGTAGGTTTTTCCAACTAGATAAAGCTCAGTAGTAAAACTGAGCTCCAGCATTGGGGCAGGAAGAGCAAATGCAGGGAGAGGAGTGAAATAGTATGATTCAGGTATTCAGTGAGGTTTGCTTGATCCAGCAAAATTAAGCCAAGAGAAATGGAATCATTGAATCTTGAAAGTGGAAGCTATCTTAGAGTTAAGCAGAAGTGAGAAAATGTACACAATAAAGTGTGTGAAATAGAATATCATAAATACCATAGGGAAGTATACAAAGAACTGTAATGGCTAGGAATAAGAACTCTGGAGCCAGAGGCCTGGGTTCAAATCCTAGATCTACTACCTTACTTCTTTGTGCCTCAGTTTCTTCATCCATATAATGGTGATAATACCATTATAATACCAAGTAAGACCTATTTCATAGAGTCACTGTAAGGATTAAATCTATTCCTATATGCAAATTGCTTAGAACAGCGACTGACCCATTGTAAGTACTCTACAACTATTAGCCATTATTATCACTATAATATTATGAGGCTTTGGAAATTGACGGAATTGAAGGAATACTTCTGGCTGGAGAGAACTGTTATTGTAGAAAGTAACATTTGAGATGAATCTTGAACAATGAGCATGACTGGGGCAAGTAACAATGTCTGGAAAAACCATTTAGGCAATGAGGACAGCAGGAACCCAAACCCAAAGCAGAGGTCAAAGTTTAGGCAAATGGTCCAGTTTAGTTAGTGTGAAGGATACAGCAAGGGATATAGTAGACTAGATGGTCAGATAGATATGTTTGAGTTAAATCATGGAGCGCTCAGAACCCCAGGCTTTATATGGTAAACCATGAGGAAAAATTATTTTTTAAACAAAGGTTCAAATAAAAAAAAGACTGGAGAATGGTTTGTAAGCTAAAATTTAGACATACCCATTCTAGGCTAAATCAAAAAATGTTTGTCAAGAGAACACATTTTCAATCATACAATCATACAATCATAGAATCATACATCATACAATCATAGAAATGGTATATATAGGAAAGGAAAAAAGGGAAGTAAGACATATTTTATTAAACCAATAATACAGAAAGGAAAAGTCACCATTTTTGAACTATATACAATGATTAAACATATTTAAAAGCAATTTGAGAATTTTTTTCTGAAAAGTATTATCCACATAGAAATAGAAAAAATATCATATACTGTATAAATCATTTTTAATGTAGGGGAACCAAAGAGGATTAACACCTAGTTCAACCTAGTCCAGAATTCATTGTCTCAAAGATGAACCATTCCCTTCATGTGTAAACAGAAGAAATTATATTAAAAATACCAAAGAAGGAGGAAATTACAGTTTTTCACCAAGAAATACCAAACACCACACACTGCAAGCAACTTACCTGAGATTTGTTACAGTCATTAATTACATTATGTTTAACAATGGCATTATTTTTATAGCAGAACTTTTAGCTATAGTTTTATATAATTTTATATTCAGATGACATTGTGAAAATATTCTGTCTGCCTTAATGCATAGGCTGAGAAATAAATTCACAAAGTAAGTATAAACTGTGCCTATCTGCATGACTAACTACTCCTGCAAGTAGCACAAGACCTAAGTATTGAAGTTATTCAAAGACAGTGAAAAAAAAAATGTGAGCAGGCAAAGTGAATCAAATCTAGGGCTATGTAGGTACATCTTTACGTTATTCTTTATTACTTGGTCTAAATGGTTTACATTCACATAGAAGGTACAAAATGCAAAACAAGTTATTAAAGCAGCCAGATATCATCTACTGAATATTAATCCTAAAGAACCGTCATTCAGTTTGGTGAGAGACAGCAGGAAGTGAGCTTGTGCTGAAACATTTCTTGTTAACTGATGTTCTTTTGTTTAAACCACATTAAATTCTAGTTAACATGTCATTTGGGGAGTGCAGTGGAGAGAAGAGTGGTTATGAGACTGAGCTGAAAACTGAGGCTGCCTGGGCTAAAGCCTTGGTTCTGCCATTAGCAGTATATGCAAGTGACTCCTGCCATTAGCAGTATATGCAAGTGACTCCTTTTTTGTGTGCAGCAGTGTCCTCATTCTCCTTATCTCCACTGTCCTTGGTATAAGGCTAGTAATACCTGTCTCAAGTTGGATGGGAAGGGTTAGGTGAGATTTTATGAGTAAAGAAATCAGTGAGTAGCACCTAGGAAGAGCTCAATGATCTTAGTTCTCCCCCTACCCCTTTTTTTCCTTTCTTGTTTTTTGTTTTTTTTTTCTTTTCCTGTGAGCCAAAATGATCCTGACATAATTGGGAACATGGCAGCAAGAAGTTATGGAAAGCCTGGATGATTTAGAAGATGCCTGCAAAGAGAAAACAGAAAGAATACCTTGAGAAGAACATTTTCTTTCCCAAACATTACCAGTGGTTAACATTATTTTGTTTACATGAAAATATTTTCTTTACGTCAGTTTTTTTTTTTTCTAAACATCTGTCTCTCCATCTATTTGCCTATCTTTAAACTCTAGCCATAGATTTAAATGAACAATTCCTGGGGGAAATTCCATAAACAATTACAGGCACATGAAAATATCATTTGCATCTTCAAATACCCTTTTATTTGGCTATATAGTTTATTTTAATCTGGAAAAGCGAGAATAAGACTTTTTTTTAAGATTTATTTATTTATTTATTTGAGAGGGAGAGTGCATGAGCCAGGGGAGGGACAGAGAAGCAGATTCCCCATGGAGCAGGGAGCCCAATGTGGGACTCATTCCCAGGACTCTGGGATCATGACCTGAGCCGAAGGCAGATGCTTAACCAGCTGAGCCACCTAGGTGCCCTTTTTTTTTTTTCTTTTTGTTTTTAGAGACTGAGAGGAAGTGTGCACATGTGTGTATGCACACACACCCACATGCACAAGAAGCAGGGGAGGGGAGGGGCAGAGAGAGAGAGAGAGAGAGAGAATCTTAAGCAGGCTCAATGCCTAGTCCAGAGCCCGATGCAGGGCTCAGTGTCACAACCCTGAAATCATATGACCTGACCTGAAATCAAGGGTCAAACACTTAACTGACTGAGCCACCCAGGCACCCCAAATTTTTCTTTTAACATGTACAAGTTCATGCCCCAAGCTCATTAATGTCATAGAATGTGGTGATACACAGGATGTAAAGAATAAAAATGAGGGAAAAACCTAATCATACCTATAAATATTATGCTTTAAATTCCAAAATCTTCTTTCTTATCCTGTATTATTTTAAAGAATGAAAACATCCCATCCAAATAAATTCAAACTTCACAGAATATGTCTTCTATTATGGACTAAACTTTTTTTCTTACATTCTTTTAGGCATAGTCTAGGGAAATCTCACAGAGAAAGGTCAGTCATGAGTAAGACTAATGGTAGATAGTAGGAAGAAGTACATTTGGAAAACTTACAAATGTATATTCTACTTACGCATTGTAAAAATAAATTATCTAGATGGTTTAACAATTACTACTCTTATTAAGTGGTAATTGTGAATATAGTATTATTAATTTACTTTCTTGACAGTTTTCATGTTCAAATGCAAAATTCTTCACTTAGTCAACAATCTCACCTTACTGACCTTCATTCATT